CTCCCCGCGCCTCTCCGCCTCCGCCTCCAGCAGCCCCGCGCCGCCGCCGCCGCCTCCTCCCCCCGCGTCTCTGGCAAGTCTCCGCCTCCCTCGGCCGCCGCCGCTGCCGCCGCCGGTCCGACTGCGCGCCACGTGACTACGCCACGTGACCCGGCTCAGCGAGCGGCGCCTCCCCGCTAGCCTGTCCAGACACGCGCGCCGGCAGTTGGCGCTGCCCGGGCCGTCGGCGCCGCTCCGCCCCGCGCACAGGGGTGCTGGCCCCAGCCCTTGCTCTGGCCCCACACCCCGCGGAGCTCTCCTACCGAGCTGCGGGGGCCCGGATGGCTGCCCAGGGGAGCCCCGCCCCCACCCGGAGGCCGCGCCGCCTCCCGCCTCGCCGCTCACCAGCGCGCGCGCGCGCACTCGTAGGCACGCGCGCGCGCCCCTCGCAGCCGTTGCCCGCTAGACCGTGGCTGCCCACAAGTCTGGACAACTGTGAGGACAGTCTCAGAGTCCTCGGGACCTCGCCCTCTGGAGAAACCCTATCCCAGATTCGTCTGTAGTCCGTGTTCTGTTTGAGCCGGAAGTGGAAATCACCATCACGTCGTGTCTTCAGTTGGGAGCTGCTACAGAGAACAGATTTGCTGGTGCTCTGGACCAGCGTGGGTGATCTCGCGTAGTGTATCTCTTCTTCAGTTCGGTCTTACGGGAGAACAAGCAGATAGCGTCCTTTTAACCAGAGGCTAGAACTCACAACCCCACCACCACTAAGAACGGAAACTTAAATCGTCTCTTTAATTTTCCATCATTACAAAGAAGTAGCGTTGCTGGGTATGGGGCTATTCCTACATGTGTATTTTAAACTAAAAAATAGCACGCATTTTTTTCCTCGATCTGATGCATAGTTAAGAATAGTAGCCACTATTTGCAAGTACATACTCACTAATGTTTTCCATTTCGCCTATCTGCAAAAGCTTTGAATCAGTTTCAGAATTAAGAATGCATGCTTCTGCGAATTTGGTCAGAAAGGAAAAGGACTTGGTCAAAGAATCTGTTCAGTTCAAAAATTCCGTGCCTGTGGAGTGACAAATGTTAAAAGGTGCTATCTAGATTTTTATTTTTCATCTTTAAAGGCAATTTAAAAACGCTTATTTTATTTATAAATGTAATATATGTAATAGGAATACTATTAACATTAGGATTATTTCATGACTGAGCATGCATAAGCTTAATTTTGAGAACTTTAAGAAATAAAACCACATTTAGGTCTAGAATGCCTTCAACATTGTATTGTTATCCCCATCAAGTCAATATAATGAGTATCACGATTCAATTTAGTGTTCAAAGTTATATTGTGGGAAACCAAAGGAATAATATAATATGTCCCTTGCCCTCAAAACTTACTATTTCTAAAAAGGATTACTGTAAAATATGTACATAATATTTTAAGTCACACACACACACGGACAAACCAGGATCAATAATCAAAATCTGACCCTGGCTGTCAAGCTTTAAAGAATTAGAAAAAGGATGAAAAACGTGAAGCTGAAAAACTTACTGGAGCCTATAACTACAATCTATATAACAGTAAAGAAATGGTTTAATACTACTGAATCTGATGGTATTTGTCTGAAAAGTGAAAAAAAAAAAAACTAACATTGAGACTACTCCTGCTAATACCATAGCTTTCTATATATTTACTTTTATTATTCTTTCTGTTCCCTGTCTCAGAAGCTGCCTTCATCTGAACTGCAGCTCCTTAGAGGTCTCTCTTCCTCTATATTTTATTTTTTAAATTTATTTTCTTTTTTATGTATATGGTACAGAGTCTCACTACATAGCTCAAATTCATAGTGACCCTCCTGTTTTTCAGCCTCCCCAGCGCTGGGATTGCAGGTGTGCACCACCATACACAGACTTGGTGGCCAGCTCAGTGTGCCTAGGGGTGGGGCCAGGGCAGGATGTGGTACTAGGGATGGAACCGTGGTCCCTGCTCTTGCCTAAGTAGCTCTTAGTCTGCTGAGCTATCTCACCAGCACTTTCCTTGTGTATTAAAAGAAAAATGGTTTGCTTAAGACCTCTAACTTAAGAGTTATTTATAGTAATGTCAAATCTGTTATGAATCTGCAGTGGATACTGAAATTTTCAAACACCTTTCTAACTGCAATGAAAAGGCTTGCTTCTTACTTAAAATCTGAGGCAGTGAAAAGCCTGACCTTTGAAATACCATTGGTCCAGTAAGTCTTATTTTTGTCATACTGAAATACTTTTTAAATGTTAGAGGTTGGGGATATAGCTCAGAGCATAAGCACCTGTGTTACACAAGCAACAACATCTCTTTTTGTTATTATTAACTCTACAAACTGGCTCTCCTTTGGCTCTAGGTTCAAGTTTGAGAAAAACTTTTTACTACCCTGAATAAACTCCCCAAAATTCTGAGGGATATGTGATCTTTCTTTGCAAATTAAACTATTCTTTACCTCTTCTTAGGTAAAGTGATGGGCTCAGAAGCCGGAATGGTAGGCATTCTGGGTTATCTGGGTAATCTTTTGATAACCCCACTGTAACATAAATATGATACACTAACAGATCAAGTGCAACTGTTGAAATTCTCAAGGGGAACGACAGTGGAGGCTGAAGAAATAAAGATAAGTAGAAAACAAAAAGCTGAGGTGGGGGGGCCTCTCTCCAGATTCAAGAAAAAAGACTATTCAACAACTATAGTGAATTTATTTATACATTGGGCAGGTTGATGTCATGTGACACTGCCTAGCAACTTGTTTGCTTGGATTGCCTTGAGCTTTTCATGACTGGAAGTTGGAACAGCTTGTTCATGTGGTTTGCCTTGAGTGCTCTTGGTTCTCAGGACAGGCCTTGCTGCACCCCACACATGTGATTGACCTCCAGTTTTAGCCACTTCTCACAGTACACTCATCAAAATGTAGCTGAGCATCTGTGATTCAGGGTAGGGATAGCAAGGTTGTTAAACATCGCCATTCCAGGCTAAGTCAAAAGAGGCTGAAGGCTGAAGTGCTCCAAAGTCACAGTCTGATGGGTTTCTGCTCCTTTTCCTTTTTTGACCTCTCCCCATCACACTTCTCTAAGATACCTAGATCCTGGAGCTCTAGAAGCTTTATTCGTAGGCCTCATCCCTGTCTTCCCAGCAGCCAGCAGTGGGGTGGGCATCTTCCCTCCCTCCTGGCTTCAACATAATTCAGAGCCCAAAGTTACTACTGACTCAGACCCTTCAGACACACATCTCAGGGACAAAAAAACAGGGTCCTGAAAATTGAGATATGGTGAGTGAGCCAGAGCTTATGGAGAACAAGATACAACCCTTTCCTCTTTTGCGTATACTGAAAGCCAAAAATGCCATTGTCAACCTGGGTTTTATTACTGGAAACATATCACACAGTACCAGGGAAGAAATACTAGTATCCCTGCGCTCCATTGAGCCACTGTTTTTCCTATTTGGTACTGTAGCCACATGTGCAGGGAACATAGATAAATGGCAACACAACTAATGAAAGGTAAGAGGGTCAGGACTTAAAAAGCTATCTTATCATGGTAAAGTTTTACCAATAGCTGTTGAGAATAAAAATGTTTTACCTGCCTCAAAAAAAAAAAAAATGTTTAACCTGGAGAGAAACAGAAATCATTTGAGAATAATGCTGCCCAGCAAAGAAAGAAGCAATGTTGGAATTTATGAGAAGAGTTTGGTTCAGGTAAGGAAGAGCCTGTAATCTGGAAAGTGGGTAGCTTTCACATATATCCTGAATCCATTATACCTGTCCCCTTTGGTAAGCTAGGCTGGGCAATAAGAGCAACTTCAGGGTCCTGCTCATCACTCTGTCTTAGAGTCTGGCGCTCTAGTCTGCTAAGTTTTTCCTCTTCCCTATTCTGCTTAGTGCCTCCTACAGCAAAGTCATGCCTGGACCTAAGGTCAAGAGTCAAAGAGACTACTCATCTCACTCTGGAAAAGAAAAATAAAAGGAAAGCAAGGGGAAATGTTTTTAAAAAGGAGTGCTCCTTTCCAAGAAAAGAGAAGGTGGGCAGGCTACCATCCTTTGCCCATAGTTGAAGCATCTTTCTCTTTCTTCCAAATTCTGGTCCTTTAGGAGCCCTGAATGCAGACCAGACTATCTGAGTAAGGCAGTGTAATTAGGTATAAATTTTTCTCTGCACAATGTAAGCAGTGTTCCTCCAGAAGACACTGATATGGTCCTCATTAAGCAACTGTTAAAGCAGGTGGGCACTATGTCTTAGAAATGCTCTTTTTCCCCCCTGACAATATGCTTTTAGTTTTTCTTGATCTGTAGAAGTGATCTCTGGGAAAGGGTAGCTTTGTAAAAGAAACACATTTCTTTAGGAGGAGTGATGAATCACACACACACACACACACACACACACACA